AAAATGTCGCATTAATTTGCACTTGTCGATGTATGTATTGATCATTCCTCATAGTAGCGCTTATAGTATCTGCAACTCCACCCGTGCATGCCATAGACAAACACAATCTTGGCTTCAACTGTCAAGGCCAGCCAATCAGAGAACATTGCAAGAATAGCCAAACTTTAAGATGGTAAATGCGTTACAACTTTGCTCCGGTGTCGCTGTAAATATTAAGCTTTGAATTTTCAGGTACTTTGATACGGTCGATAAAACGTGCAAGACGTTCGTAGACGGAGGCTGTAACGAAGGAGGGAACAATTACGGCAGCAAAGTCGAATGCGAACAGCACTGTCTTTTCAGCATTAACTCGTCGTGCCCAATTGGTAGCTTTCCGCTGACCGACAGCAGGGGCTTTCCGTTCAGTTGCTTGACGGACAAATGTCCAAAGGGCTTCAAGTGCCACTTCGCCTCTGCCATCGCCTACTGCTGCACCGACTTGGAAAGCAACGGTGAGTTGTCTTAAACAGTCACCATGTGATGTTATCTTGTGGGACAAAAAATGATTGTCAGTTCTGTTTTCATCTCACTCATCCATTTTCCGGAAAACAGATTACTTCGTGTTTGATGGAGCATATCATGTCGACCTTTCACATCCTGTGGATATTAGGCATGTGCGATTAAAATTTATTGCCAAAGGCACTTTGTTCAAAAACACAGGTTGAACTACATGCACAGATTTTTGTACTGTCGTACTGTTCAGTTCTGCAGTTCTTATCATCAGTTAAATCACTGTTAGACCGGCATGGATGGAGGGTCTCTTTCAGCGGGTACCCATTGGGGGATGCCGTCGGGTCCAATACGTGGAATGAGGAACATTGTTAATCCGGTATGATTGAAACTGATAGATTCTGAGCACCTGTGGTTGCTATACTCGTTCTCTTATATGAGCTTGTAGCTTGTCGGTAAACAGGGTGTTTCAGAAATCACTAATCCAAACGGGAATGCAGCACACGTTTTAGTTGTTAAAAGAATACACATAATGTAATTCAGTCCTTTCAGTAACGCCATGCCAAGAATATTCTAGCGCTGCGCAGAATATAATAGCTCTCTCTGATTAGTCGTTGTTGTTCCATTGTTCATTTTGGCTTTACGGTGTATCTTGGTGACTCAGTGTATTTTGCTTTGACACGTATATGGTCGTTTTCGGTCTTCCATTAGTTGAACACATATATGATCAATTGTAAAGTTAATCTTCAGCCTTAAGGTCCTTTCTTCTATTGAACACTGCTGTCTGTGTGACCTCTCGTCATCGCCGATGACGCATGGCGATTACTGTCATTAATGATCCGTTGAATATGGCAAGATTATGATATTTCGAACAAACATCCGCTAGTGCTTTTCTTGTTTTAACGCATTTACACTCTTGACAAAATCCTACGAGTTTTTTTTTAACAGAAGCTGTGTCTAATATGATTGTGAAAATGACTTGTGCATCAGACTCCTGTTCCGTTGGTGGTCACTTCGAATCTGCTGGCTTTCATGTGATCCGGCCGGCTTGTTTCAGGTATCGCTGCTCCACTGAAGTCCAATCAGTCGATATGCAACCTGAAGAAAGACAGAGGACCGTGCAACGAGTTCAAACTGCGGTTCTATTACGATAGAGAGGAGAAGGACTGCAAGTACTTCTTCTACGGCGGATGCGACGGAAACAAGAACAACTTTGCAACGTTGCAGCAGTGCGCCGAAACGTGCGTGACGTTGTCACA